AACCCCATAATCTGTGAGTTCTGTGTGGCCACTGCAGCGAATTATCGAACCCAGGAGAGAGGTGGTGGGTGCTTTGGGAGGAACAGTTGGAGAAAGGGCTGGAGGGAGGCAGCATGTCTGGCCTGGCAGGAATAGGCCTTGGGTTACTGCTGGTAATCCTGTCTTCCTCTTGTGGAATTAAGAGAAGGTCAGAACATGTGGCCTCCTTGCTGTTTTTGCAAATGTACACATCAGAAAAACAAAAGGTCTCCCCTCAGAGCTAATGATCATGAAAAACATTCAGATCTTTCTCTCTGCAGACTACAGGGTCTGGCAATCTCTCTCTCTAATGCCCACTTGCCCAGTTTGCAGATCTCTTGGGATGGTAACTGGCATTCACACCTAACATATGTCCTTTTTAAGTCTCCTTCAGAGGGACTCTTTGCAGCATTCCCATCCAGGGCTTTCAGTATGCTGCACCCTCACTGGTCAGTCCTATCACAGCCTCCTCTGTTCTGTCCACCTCCTGCCCTTGACCTCTTCTGTGAAGCAGGCCAGGGTGCAGGCCCTGCTCTCTTCCCTTCTTGGTCTGCATTCATTTCCTCAGGGAATCTCTTCCAGTCTCCTGGGTTTACATACCATCCTAGATATTTACGTCCAGTCCAAATCTCTCTCTTTCAAATTCCAGACTCAAGTTTTGTCTACTCTACATCACCACTGACATGTCTAATGGTATTTCAGGCTCAACTTGCCCCAAGCTGGATTCCTAATCTTCCCAGTGAACCTGATCATCCTACAGACTTTTCTATAAACTATAGAGTCATTCTGACTCATCTCTTTCTGTCATTCTCTATACTCAGTTTGTCAGGAAATCCTGATGGCTCTACTTTCAAAATATATTCAAAATCTGACCACTTCCCACATTTCCATTGATATCACCCTCGTCAAGCCACTCTAAACTCTCACCTGAGGACTGTAGTAGCCTCCTAGGTGGTCTCTCTGCTACCACCCTTGCCAACACCTACAATCTACATAGAAGTCAGAGAGATCCTTTTAAAATATAAGTCAGATCACATCACTCCTCTGCTGAAGACCCTGTCATGTCTTCCCTTTCATTCAGCATAAAAGCCAAAGTTCTTACAGTGGCTACAAAGTCTTTGGTGGTCTGGGTCCCTTGTGACCTTACCTCTTTCTACTCTTCCCCTGATTTGTCTGCTCCAAGCCACACCAGTCTCCATCACGGATCCTGGAACAGCCCAGGCACACTGCTGCCTACACACTCTTCCCCACAGTTGTCCACCTGGCTGGTTCTCTCACCTTCCTTATATCTTTCCTCACTGGTCAAATGTACAAATCAGGAAAACAAACCTTAAACAAACCAAGAAGGTGAGCCTACACCGACTACCTTATTTGAAATTACAACCAGTTTCTTCCCTATCACCTAATTATCCCATGTTCCCTTTCCCCACTTCTTCATTTTGTACATCTCCATCTCTTATCATCTTCTGTGGTGCTATGAATTGCTTGGTATGGCCCTTCCAGCTATTGGGTGGGACTATGCAAATGTGACGTGTCTGTGGCTCACCAAAGGGATTAGACAGCTTGCTAATAATGCCAATAAGGTACATGACACCTTTATGGGGGTGGGACTACACAAATATGATGTATGGAACCCTAACGTGGAGGTTGGTCAGTTTTGCCATCCCGCTAGGCTTAAAATAAGCCACCCAGAAGTGGGTAGTAGGGGGTAACCTCATTATCATCAAGAGAGAAGAGCCAGGAGCAGAGTGTGTCCTTTGAATCTGTGATCTCTGTGCTGAATCTCCTTGATTCAGAAGACAGAGAGCTGTGGCACTGTAGATGGGAGAGACAGTGAGAAGAAGTGGCAGAAAAATAGCAGTAGTAGAGGCAGCAGAATCAAGAGACCAGCATGAGATAGAGCAGTGGGCTTCCCAACCCACAGAGCAAGAAAGCTGAGTGCCTTCAGGCAAGAGTCTTATGGAATTGTAGGGTACCTCTCTGGGCACCTACTGGCAGAGCTAAAAGAGCATTTTAACACTTGCCTGAGCAAGGCAGAGGCCAAGTGGCCATGGGACACCAAGAGGCCAAGGGCCAGAGTGCGGCATACATGAAGGTACTGCTAAGGAGAGGCTGTCCTGATCAAAGAACTGTATCCTGAGTTGGTTTGATCCTGAATTATAACCTGTTACTTCCCTAATATACCCCATAATCGTGAGTATCCTCTGTGAGTTCTGTGTGGCCACTGCAATGAATTACGGAACTTCGGAGAGAAGTAGAGAGTGCTGTGGAAAGGACAGTTGGTGTCAGAAATGATAGAAATGTTGGTGGGTGGAGGCATGTCTGACTTCTGCCTCACAGGAGTCAGCCTTGGGCTGTTGATCTTGATCTTTCTCCCCTCTTATGACGTTAGAGGAGGTCAGATGCCACACCCACACCATTTTTGTATCTTCTAACATTCTTCTTAATTTACTTGACACTTTTGTTTATCGTATATTCCCCCCAACTAGAATGTAACCTGTGTGAGAACACAGATCTCTGCTTCATTTCCTGACATGTCCTGTGCATAGCACATGGCAGATAATAAATACTTGTCAATGAATGAATGAAAGATCTAGTCCTGCCTCATTGCCCTGCAGTCTTATGGGCACTAAAGCCCTTTTCATATTGCAAGAACACTGTGACCAATGGCTTTTTGCCAGCTGGGAAGGGCAACCTCTTCTGAGCACACCTTCTCCTTTCCTCTTCCCAGCCAGGTACTTGCTTTGGGCCCTTCTGTCCGTATAGCCCTACAAATGGGCTAATTCCCAGGCTGAGCTCTTGGCCACTCACCTGAAAGTCCTCCTCATCCAAGATCTCTTTCCTCCACTTGATCAAGAAGGCTGCACACACGTAAAGATGGAAATGGGAGAACCCTTCTGGTTCAGACTAGAAAGGAAAAAAAAACAGGTCTCTAAGCCCTGACAAGGAGCTGGCTCTGGTCCTCTCAGCTCCACTCCTCCTAGAAAGTGGGAAAGCAGCACAACAGCGCTTTCATGGTGGGGCAAACAGAGTCCTGACAGCCTTCAGCAGAGCCCTGTCCATGATGCTAAGGCAGGCAGAGAAGGAGGAAGGTAGTGCATGTTGGGGCACTTCTCACAGCTATATTCCACACCAGGACAAAGTGCCAGGCTCCTCAGAGACAGCCTGGCACAGAGAGGGCAAGGGATCACTTCATACCTGGTATGTGTCCCACAGGCGGATGGTGCAGCGAAGGGGAAGCTCCCGCATAAGCAGGTTGTTCATCCAACGAAAGGCAAACTGTAGGTATTCAACCTCGTACTTCCTGAAGTGTTTATGCACCTGCTCTGAAACAGGAAGTGCCATTGGTCCCAGGGTACAAGCTAGGGGATCACAGCCTGAAAGATTCACATGGACTAAATACTGGCAATTTCCATTTCTTATCATGCCCTGCCCCTGGAGAAGATGACACAAAAAGGGCAAATAGGCACCTGACTGTCCTTTTCATTTGATTTCAACATTTCACAGCAACACTGCATGGCAAACATACACACAGCCCTTAACTCAGTTTGCCATGTACTGGAACTATTTCAACATCCCATAGCAATGCTCTAGGTGCCTCTCCTCCTTCACAGGGCTGTTCTGGCCAAAAAAGTAGGAGACATAAGGCTCTCTTGGCTGCTTAACATGATTACTCATCAGAGAAAGACTCCGAGAAAGAATGGAGGGCACCTTGGCCATCCTCCCACTGGTGAGGAATTCCTCTTCAGCTTCCTTGACAGATGGTCGGCCAGCAGGTACTTAAACATCGCCAGTGGAAGAGGCTCACAGACTCCACATAAGGACAGCCCTCTCCACTGATGCCTTCAGTAATTCACCAGAAAGGGCAACTCCATATGAAACAGAAATTAGCTGCCTCCTAAATCCCACCCCTTGGTGATAGTGTGGTATTCTGGAGGAACCAAAACAAACCTGTTCCCTAGTCTACATGACAGTTCTTCAAATAAAGCTTACAAGTTTTCTTTGTTAAGGAGCTCTGGTGGCTTCATGCCTAAGGCATTTGTCTGCTAACCAGAAGGTTGGTGGTTCAAATCCACCAGCCACTCTGTACAAGAAAGACCGGGCAATCTATTTCTGTAAAGATTTACCACCTTGGAAACCCAAAGGGGATCGCTATGAGTTGGAATCAACTAGATGGCAGTGAGTTTTGAGTTTTCTTTGCTTGTTTTTAAATCATTATCCCCCTCAGCTTCCTAATCTATAAAATGAGGACAATCATTCATTCCTCAGGGGGTCTAGGGAGAATAAAATGAGAAAATAAAAGTCATGGTTATAACAGCACCTGGCACATGGTAAATACTTAATAAAATTTTTGGAAGAACTATTAACAGTATTTATTACTGGGAGTAGGATTTGAAGGAGAGAGGATTTTTATTTTTTATTTTGTGTTTTTTTCTGAATTGCCCCAATTTTTATAATGAGTAGGTGTTACTTTTGTAATTTATATATATATATACGTATATATCTATCTATGTATCTGTGTATATACATAGGTCTTTGTAAGGGCATAAAAAACAGTGTAGAAAGTGGCAGAAACTACCATCTCTGTTCTTTGGAACCCGTCTGATTGCTGGCTTCCATTAGTAGTTTAGAAGCCTGTTTGGGGCAGTACGCCCTGTACCAAGCTCCAGGTGAGGGACTCGAGAGTCCTGGATATAGGCTCTGCGGTGGGTGGGTGAGGGGAACAACCAGGGGAGACTGACAGCTGGGTAAGGCTGATAAGACACTAAGGAGAAAACATCACACATACGATGTACACAAAGCAACTATGAATATGCAAATGAGCCAGGAGAAGTGAAATCCTTAGTTATAAAAGGAAGGTGGAGTGAGTGGAACAAATCAGGAAAGGTATTCATGACAAGAAAACTTGGGAAAGGATAAACATGTAGCTTTTGTATAGGAAAACAAAAAGCATGACTGGATGAAACAGAAAATCCATGATTGGGAAAACTAGGAAATGAGGGTGATAAGCTGGTGTGGTTAACTGGTAGAGTCATGAAGAAGCTGCTACAACTGAACTGGTGCTAGAGGTATCACTTAACAGAAGTGGCTATTAGAAGTGTGCTCTTTGGAAACTTAATTCTGACTTCTCTCCGTGGAACTCAGGTTCTTCATCAGTCAATAGTAGGCCTTCACCAGTTCTCTTTTAGTTCTAACATTCCATGATTCCAGTAGAGTCAAGAAATTTCTACAATGGCTCCTGTTCTTCAAAGATATTCTGCTCCAGGGAAGAGCCACATCTCAATGCCTCTAATCCAATATAGGTCATAGAAAACTGTGGAAAGTCCTGGAGTATGAGTCAGACTTGAGGGCTCTGCTTTGGTCAAGCCCAGTAGTCCTGAGTTACATCACCACATAAAGAATAAGGTGAGACTACAGACTTGATACTGAAAGCAACTAAGAGCCACAGAAGGTTTCAGAACAGAAGAGGGATGTGACTAAACAGTGCTTTAGAAAGATGAGCCCAATAGTTATGTGATAGATGATTTGGAAGAGGAAATAGTATGGAAGAGGCAAGTTCTTGTAGGAAATCTAGGAATGGCTGGAACTGGAATTGTGGACAAAGAAATAGAGAAGTTGGGTGAATTTGAGGGGAGGTGCTGAAGGGTCACTGACAGAACCTGGTGATAAAAAACTAAAGGGAAAGAAGAATTTGAGATAACAGCAGAGTTCTCATCTCACTTTTTTGTTGAGATGTGCAAGGATGATGGTGCTACCAACAGCTATGAGTGGATTAGAAAGGGTCATGGGTAGGAGAGAGGCTTAGGAGAATAACCACAAGTATAACTGGTTCATGCTGGGAATTGTACTGTGCTACTGCTAGAGAATTCTTCTTTCTCTAGACTTACCATCAATCCGGCTGACAAGCTCTTCCAGTGCCTTGACCTTCTTTTGGATGCCCGGTTGTGCAAAGGTGTAGTTATCCTGCAAGTAACAAAGAGCCCAGGATTAGCAGCAACTCCAAATAGTTGTGCTTCGACCTCAAGATGTATTTTAAAAACTGGTGCCAATGGCTAATGACAGTGTTTTGGGGAACAAAATAATCTACAGGCAATTAAGAGTATGGTGTGGTTAACTGGTAGAGTATGGGGGAATGCCTAACAGAGCTACACATTGTGGAGGTAAATCCATGTGGCTCGAAGTTATAAAGTTGTAAAGCCAGCAAAAAAGACAGATTATGGATAGACCAAAAAGGAAGAGGAGGAGCCATGCTAGGTATGTGGCTCTGTCTTTAGTAGAAGAGTAGTAAGGAAGCCAACGGCCTTCAGGGAGGCCCTGCACTCAGATATGCCCTTGAGGGTGGAAGCAGCTCACCTGGATTCCATCCAGCAGCTTGCTCATGCACCAAAAACTGTCAGCTTCAATGCTTCGAAGCATGTCCTGAGACAAGTTGGTCACATCAAAGTTCTCCACATCCTCTTCTGTAAAACAAAAGGTGAAGAAAGTCCAGAGGTCTAATCTAAAAAATGGAGAGAGAAAGATAGAGTCTAGGATCTTCAAAGGAGTCCTTTTAGGCCAGTGGAGAACCAGGCTAACCTGATGCCAAGGAATGATGGATTCCCTTCTCCACCCCTTGTTAGGTGGGCAGATGTGTCCCAGGGAATTTTGTGAGGTCATTATAACACTGAACATACCACTGTCGCATCAACCTGTTGGATCCAACATCTCTTTTCCTTCCTCTACATTTCTTCATTCAGTTTTAGAAAAATACCATTCAGACCTCATGTTTGATGAGCTACACTCAGCTCCCTGGAGGAGGTCAGGAAGAATCCTTCAGTTTTACAAGTTCAGTGAGCTGTCTAGCACTGCTATATGTAGTGAGGAGAGCTGGGATCAGAGAGTCCCTATGGTTCATTTTAAAGAAGGAATCTCCAAATTTGACAAGGCAGACTCACTGCCTCACCACTCAAAAGTGAAGATGTAGAATTGAAGGAAGAAGACCCAAGCCTGTGGATGCTTCTAGGATTTAATTCCACCAAGTTGGCAGTTCCCAGGATGGGTTCTGCAGAACATCAACCCTGTAGGATACTCAAGAAAAAAAGAGGTTTCATAGACAAGTGTGGTTGAAAAATGCTGCATAATGTGTCCCCATCTTGGAGATTCACAAAGAGCATAGGGTACAAAGTGCCTGAAGAGTTGTATGAAATTCTGCATTAAATAAATCCACTAACTCTGTTTATCTAGCATATTCCAAACTTGGTCAGCTATGGAACCTCTGACGGTATAGTGCCTAAGGCATTTGACTGCTAACCAGAAGGTTGGTGGTTCAAATCCACCAGCCACTCCTCAGAAGGAAGATTTGGCAATCTACTTCTGTAGTGACACCACCTTGGAAACCCAAGGAGGGGTTGCTATGAGTTGGCTCCAACTTGATGGCAGTGAGTTTGGTTTTGGTTTTTGATTTACTAGCTTCTCATGGAAACCCCACACTAAGTAACAGGAGTGAAGTTCTTCCCTTGTTTTTCTTTTCTGCTGCAGAAAAGAGGACATAGTAAGAAAGGGTTTCCTTGCCCAACAAGACAGGCTACCAACACACACAGGCCACTATATACTTATTAGAGGCCATACATGGAAACGTTCAGGCCCTTGAGTTCTGCACCAAGGCAGCTTTCCTCCTTAGACCCACAAGCCCTGTACAGGATGTTCACTGCAGTCCCTTGTGCTGCAGAGAGACATAGGCATCTAACGAAACATATTCAGAATCCAGCCCTTCTATTTATGAGAATTATTACAAAGACCGATAACCAAACCTTCTAGTGTCAACATGCAACCTGGATTGTTATACTGTTAAAAGAGCCATTATTTATGGCCACCAAAGGCTATAAGTAAAATAAATAAATAGAAGAAACTTGGGGAGGGTAGGCCTTGGGAATAATCTAAAAGTCTGGCTCAAAGTACAGCCAGTTAGTATACGTAAGGACAGTGCCTGGTACACAGTGGGCACAATATAGTTCTTTTAGATGAAGTCTGTTAGGAATTTATAATGACATGGGAAAGCATGTCATGGTGTTAAGGGGAAACAGCAAGGTACACAATTATTTATGGTATAATCATAACTACTGTACACACAATATTTATGTGTATTTATATAAGCACAGAGGAAAACAAAATCTATCATAAGGTTTACATTTCTTATCCCTAGGTGGTGGGGATAAAGGAATTTAATTTTCTTTAAGCTTTATGAGACTTTTCAAAATTTCTAAAATAAGCATAATTTATATAATCAGAGAAAAATGCACATTACTTTGGAAAAAAAGAAGAGCTATAATTGACTATGTCTGTCTTTTATCACCAAAAAAGAATAGAAGATTTTGTAAAATAACACTAAACTTGCAGAAACTAATAATTTATATACTCTACAAAAGTCATTTGAGAAATCACATTAAAAAAACTTTCTATGAAATATCATCTTCCTTTTTTTAGGCGACCATATACGTATTATTAATTCAGCTAATGATATTGTGGTATAAGACCCAGCTTAGAATTTCCCTTTTTCTCTGTGCTTCCTATTACATTCTGAGATCCTTCCGTGTTGTAGTACATGCATCCAGCCCATTACTCTATGGTGTTTAAACCACAGTTTATGCATTCATTCCCCAAAAAATGGATACCCAGGTTACCTCAACTCCCACTACCACAAGCAATGCCACAGGAATTTTCCCCTTCAATCCCATACAAAAACTGCTCTGGGTCACAGGTCCATGTGGACTTAAGCTGACTGTACCACTAGGCTGCATGCCAGGACCAGCCTCAGCATCTTTCACTCACTCCCACCAGCAATGCAAAAACAGTGCATAAGGAAGGAGTGTGTCATGTCCTTATTAATAAGCATGGCAGCTCATACTAGCCTATTCTAAGCAGCAGCTCCCCCTTTATGAGAACAGAGTTGTAGGAAAAAAAGTGAAACTGACAAGGAAGGCTCAAGGTAAAAACCACCTCCTCTGATCATGTACAATTCCCACATGAAGATCCAGACCACCATAAGAATTTGAAGACTGTCTTCCACTTGGGCATTCTCTGATTCCAGAACATTGCAGCAGGAAACAACTGGGGATGGCAACCACAGATGGCAAAGCAAAAAGGTAGAAAGAGCCAGGATCCCTGATAATGCGGAACACAAGTTGTCGTATCAGCCCTGGTGACTTGTGGGTTTCTTTTTTTGTTGTTGTTGCTGTCAGAAAAATGCACACTAAAGTCATGAAGTTAAGAGCACAGATCCTGGAGCCAGAATGCATAGCTCACATCCTAGCTCCACTCACTAGTTACATGAATTTACCTTCTTTGCCTTGATTCCTTATCTGTTAAGGTGGCAATATTAGTACCAAGGTCATAGGATACTGTATGAATTAAATGAGTTAATATATGAAAAGTGCTAAGGACAGTTCCTGGTGCAATATAAAACCAAAAAAAAAAAACCCCAACAAACCCAAATTCACTGCCATTGAGTCAATTCGACTCATAGCGACCCCTCCTTGGGTTTCTGAGGTGGTATCTCTATGGAAGTAGATTGCCCAATAGTATAAATGTTACCTATTATCATGATTATTGTTATTACAAAATAATAAACTTTTGTTTGAGCCACTGTTACTTTGGATCTCTGTTATTTGCAGCCAAACCTAATGCTAACATCATCCCAAATCACAACCAAACCCTAATTACCACTCCAAAAATGTACTTAAAAATACATTAATTTTCAAAGCTTCCCACTCTCACCTTTTGGTCTTGAGTTGAAAAATGGATCTGTAATGTGTGGAGACCTTTTAGAAAGCAGGAAAATCTGACCATCAATAAAGTTGCTACTCTCAGTACCTGGACCCATTCCAAACCTTTAGTGGTTCAGGGAGCAAAGAGACCAACAAACAAGATGCTGAACCCTATTTAGGGGCTGCTGTTTCCCCACGTTCTGACCTAACATCTGGTCTGCCCATTAGCCATTTCCTTTCACAGATAGTGAGATGGTTAACCAGTATTTCAGAGAGTAAGAGGGAGGGTTTAGTTCTATTTTTCTGCCTGCTGGGAGGAAGAAATTCACACATTCAGTCAAAAACTGAGTTGACTAGCAAAAAGCAGCAGAAAAGGGGAGACCAAATGCTCTCTGAAAAGCTTCATTCAGCATAAACAATCTGTTCAGAAGGATTATTAGATGTCCCACTTGAGGATATTCAACATAAGTGAAAACAGACTGGGAAACCAGGCCTCCAATGATGTGGAGTCTTCAGTTTTCATTACAGAATAGATGGCAGCCAGGACTCAGGCTGGAGGCGATGGGATTTTAAGGGACACTCTGTGGCTATTTTAAGAGGCAAAACATGCAAAAGAGGATGTCTTAGTTCTCTAGTGCTGCTATAACAGCAATACCACAAGTGGATGGCTTTAACAAACAGAAATTTATGGTCTCACAGCCTGAATTCAGAGCACTGGCTCTAGGGGAAGGCCTTCTCTCTCTGTGTCAGCATGGGAGGTGTGTCCTTGTTTCTTTTCAGCATCTGTGGGCCCACTGTTCCTTGAAGATGTCTTGGCATCAATGTTCCCCTGGGCCTAGGAGTTTCACAGTGCAGGGACCCTAGGTCCAAAGGACATCGTTGCTTCCAGCTCATCTTTCTCGATGGTTCTGAGGTCCTTATTCTCTGCTTGTTTCTCTCTCCTTTTATCTCTTTTAAGATAAAAGGTGATTTAGGCCACACCCCAGGGAAACTCCCCTTACATTGGGTCAAGGCTGTGACCTGATTAAGGATACTCTTACAATGGATTGGCTGATCACATCAGATCACATCATGGGAGATGATTACATCATTACATGACTGCCAAATGACATTACATAACTGCCAATGAGAATCATGGTCCCACCAAGTTGACATATATTTCTGGGGGACACAATTCAATCCATAACCAAGGACAACAAAAGTTCCTTATAAAAATAAAATTGCCCACTCTGAGCTTGACAAAAACATGCCCATTTATTATTGATAAAATGTACCTGAGTAGGGGGTCCAGTCAACTGTTTATTTTTCTGAGAACTCTGAGTTCTGGGCCTGAATCAACTCAACATGTACTTTAAAAACTTGCTGATATGAAAAAGAATGAAGAAAACCAAGGGCACCTGGAAACAATCAGCTCTAGGACATGATGGACCTCAAGACCAGAAGAACTATATGGTGCCCAGCTACCAATGCTGACCACTTGGGAAGGGGTCAAAATTGGAGATCCTGGATAAAGTGGAAGGAAAAATGTGGAACAAAATTCAAAAATACAATAGTGACCAGAATTACTGGTCGGATAGAATCTGGTGGGACCCCCAAGACTATGGCCCTGGGATACACTTCAGGCCTGGGATAAAGCTCCCTCCCAAGGGCTGGTTTTCAGCCCAAAAATAATAAGACTTACATGCAGAACACTCAACCCAGGGCAATGCACTCACCTA